TCCTCATATCAGTGAGGTCATATGATACATGTCTTTCTCTGATTGACTTATTTCACTCCCTGATGTTAATTTTAATCTGATTTGACCACCTGGACAAAAGTATTGAGGTGAAAAGAAAGAGAAAAGCCATTTCAATGATTTTGGACCATGAACCTGAAAGATTTTCATCTTGAAAATCATCATGCCAAAGAGTCTGGGTTTAAGACCAGTGATGACAATATCCTACCTTCCCTGAACCCAAATATCACTAATGCCACCTTGCATTAGGTTGGCAATAGTTCGTTGTGAGATCCAGCAGGGCTCTGCATTCAGTGCAGTCTGCTTAGGATTCTTTCTCTTCCTCTCCCTCCCCTCCCCCTCCCCTTGCTTGCACTCTCATACTTTCCTTCGCTCTCTTAAATCAATCAATCAATCAATAAATAAATAAATAATATTTTCTTTTTTAAAGGGTGGCAAGAGTGTAGTGCTCTTCCCATAAAGGTGATCGGTGAGCACTGATTATCTATCCCCTCTCTGCCCTTTGGACCATGGAATGGTCAGTGCCTTTCCCAATATGACCACTGCACAGTCACATCATTTGAACCAGTCTGATTACCTCTCAACTTTTGATTTATAAGCTCAGTCTCCTATCTCTCTGCTCAGCTTCCACTTGACAGTTAATGGAAATGAGTTGCGTTTCCTGGTCTGGACTATACATTATGTTTTGAGTGTTTCCCCCTTTATTTGCTTAACAAAGGTGGAACATTAAATGGTTCAACTCTGTGTTTCACACATGAGACCTGTGCATCCAAAGGCATTACCTCTTCTGCTTTACCTCAGAGTCCAGATATGCAGCTATGTGTGTGCACATGTACCTGCCCCACAAGGCCGTGAGCAACCTTGGGACAAGATTCTTTGAGACCACATACCTGGTCCAGCACAAGTGAGAAACTATCACATAATGAACTGGACAATTTAGCAGCAATGCTAGGGTCAATGCTTTAATATAAACTATACATTTTAGGAAAACAACTCCCCATGATTGCATTAAACATCTTTGCCATGATTTCTCTGCTTATTCTCCTTGCTAGATTCCCTCTTTCCATCATATGAATTAGAGAATTCAGTTTGTTCTCCCCTTGCCAGGAGGAATTCAGAGCCCTTCTAAACTTAAATAGCCATGTAATTTACCCATGGGCTGTTCTTCCAGAGTGTTTTAAGTTTTAATTCCAATATAGTTAACATGTAATGTTATATTAGTTTCAGGTGCACAATATAGCAATTCAATACTTCCATACATCACCTGTTGCTTATCACAGCAAGTGCACTCCTTGATCCCCACCGCCTATTTCACCCACTCCTCACACACCTCCTCTCTGGTAACCACCAGTTTGTCTCTTTCTTTGTTTCTCTCTCTCTTTTTTCTTTGCTCATATGGTATTGTCTTTCTCTGGTTGATTTGTATCACTTAGCATTATACTCACTAGCTCCATGCAATGCATGTCATTGCAAATGACAAGATTTCATTCTTTTTTAGGGCTGAATAATATTCCATTGTAAACATATACCACATCTTTATCCATTCATCAGTTGATAGACACTTGGGCTGCTTCCATAATTTCGCTATTGTAAATAATGCTACAATAAACATAAGGGTGTTTATAGGAGTGTATGTATACCTTTGATTTAGAGTTCTTGTATTTTTTGGGTAAATACCCAAAGTGGGATTCCTGGATTAGAGGGTATTTTTAATTTTTGAGGAACCTCCATCCTGTTTTCCACACTGGCTGCACCAGTTTGCATTCAGCAACAGTGCATAAGGTTTCCTTTTTCTCCGCATCCTCCCCAATACCTGTTGTTTCTATATTGTTGACTTTAGCCATTCTGACAGGTGTGAGGTGACATTACATTGTAGTTTTGATTTGCATTTCCTTAAAGATGAGTGATGTTGAGCATCTTTTCACATGGATGTCTTCTTTGGAGAAATGTTGGTTCATGTCTTCTGCCCATTTTTAAATTGGATTATTTGGTTTGGGAGTGTTCAGTTGTATTATTTATTTGTATATTTTGTCTTCCAGAGCTTTAAGGTCAATAATCTAAATATTTTCTTTCTGTGGTGAAGATTGGACCCCAAGGTGTCCAGACAAGGACAGAGAAGGAGCAACTGGAGGAGGATGGGATCTGTCTCTGTGAGGTTACAGTGGGAAAAGTAGGATCTCTGGTCCATGCAGACTGTGTCTTTGATAGGCACATTAGAGTATGCATGTGTATGCATGGGCATATACATGCTGCATGCATGTGCACATGCATATATGTGTTTGTGTTCAGATATTTGAAAAGAGCAAAAGTGTAATTACATTTGAGGAACTAGGTAGGGCCCCCTTGCTTTTGGGGAGAGACTATCATTTGAGACCAAGTATGTAGGGGTAGGGGTGGGGAAAGCTAGCACCAGCAGCTGCTTTTAATAATGCCGCTCACCTCTGCTGATTAATTAATATGCTTGTCAAAATAAAAGGGAAATGGAAATGCCCCCCATTGCTGGGAGTGGGATTGGTTGAGCCATCCAGACTCAGATTAATTACTAATGCTCTCATCTCTCTTGGGCTCCAGATACAATAGAACAATAATGAAGGAGACACACACACAGATCTGTCTTGCCCCTTGTATATCCAGCTGTGCTCTGCTGGCATTCAGTTCCCAAGGGGGTTGGAGCCCGGCTTGTTCCCAGGCAAAACTCCCAAAGGCATCAGCAGTTTACAGAAAAGTTGGCAAACTCTGTGAGCTCCATCAAGAAGGGCACCAGAGACCAAAGCAGTTTTCCACCTTAAAACAAAAACAAGTGGAACCTGGGACAGATTTGGATTTGCTCTAGACAGAAGGTAGGTGACCAAGTTGGCTCAGGGAAGAGATTGACCACAGCCCAGAGAATGGATGGGGCCCTGGGGGTGGGGCACACTGAAGTGGTTTGGATGCTTTGGTCTGCATAGATGAGTGTTGAATTGCACTAAATTGTACATAATATAGATAAAGGAAATAGCTCTTCTTATTGCACCCCAGAACAATAGAACCAGGATTACCCCAGGAAGTTTCAAAAGAACTCTTCTCTTTCAGTTCCAACAATAGGTTTTGAATTTTGGGGCAGAGGCAATTCAAAGCAATGTTTTCACCAAAAAAAAAAAAAAAGCTTCTTTTTTTCTCCTAGGTATACGGAGATATGTTATTTCCACCTCTCCTGTGGTTGAGGTTATATGATGAGTGGGAGTGGGATGTGGGTGCAAGCAATGTAACTTGATCCCCAAACTTCCTGTGAGGGCTCTGTGTTCTCTCTCCTATCACTGCAGACAATCTTGTTGAGCTGCTTCAGTAGGGTAGAGATGCAAGGTGGAAGGACTCTGGGTCTTTAAATGACTTTGTGGAGCAGACCTACCCCTTCCCTGCCAAGAACCCCACTGACCCAGACTGGGTGGCAGACAAGACCGTTTCCTAGTGCGTGAAGCCTAGGGCAGCCATAACAAGGTACCACAAACTGGGTTTGCTTAAAAAACAGAAATATATTGTTTCACATTTCTGGAAACGGATCTGGGTCATGTTATTGTCTGTGAAGGCTCTAGAGGAGGATGCTTCTTTGCCCCTTCCTGGCTTCTGATGGTTGTGGCATCCTTGGCATTCCTTGGTTTGTAGCTGGCCACTGCAACCTCTGTCTGTCCATCACATGAGGCTCTCCTTGTGGGTCTTTCTAGGAGTCCAAATTTCCATCTTACAGACACCAGTCATGGATTAGAACCCACCTTAGTCCAGTATGACTTCATCTTAACTTGATTTGTATCTGCAAGGAACTATTCCCAAATAAGGTCATAGTCACAGGCACCAGGAGTTAAGACTTGAACATATCTTTCTAGGGGACTCAATTCAACCCACTGTAGTATCTAAAATTTGGAGCTTGTTTTTTTTATAGCAGCTGGCATTAGTTTCTTTGACTAATACAAGTCTGGTATTGGTCTCACCTGAGAAGAACTTTCTCCAGGAAGTCATTTCTACGTAGACCATGTGCTAGTTTCACAGGGGACTCTCCACATTGTCCTAAATTTCCCTTATTATTGCATTTATCATGCTGAGCAATGATATCATATTTACTTGGATAAGCACGCTTTTTGTCTCCTCCTCTACTACACTGTTCATGTCCTAGAGGCAGGACTTTCTTGTTCTTTATTGTATCTCCTGTGTGTGGTGCATAATATATTCCTTAATAAATTCTTTTCAGGTAAACAAATGGTTGATGCAGGGAGGGCTGGGTGTTCTGGCACAAGCAGCATTAGGCTAACTTTCTGCCTATAGGATTGTTGCAATTCTTGATGGCTTCCTTGTTGCCAAATCCACAGGCTTATTCTCACTTCCCTTATCTTTCTTATTTCATGTACCACAGCTGATGCCCTTGAACATCCCCACATATTAATGATGCTTCAAGAATCTGGCCTCCTTGGGTTCCTGGCTCTCAGCTTACCATCAGTTCCTTCTTAAAAACTGCTTATTTCTCATTTCTATTTGGACCCATTGCTTATTACCTCAAACCCCACACCTCTAACAGAAACTGTTTCTTTCACTCACTCCATGGGTAGACATGGTTGACTGAGTTGAATTCCTTCTTTTTTTTTTTTCCACTCTACAGAGTTTATTGGGTTTATAACTGGACAAAGTCACACGTGTACAAAATGAAGCTCACATTATCCCAAAGCAGAGTAGGGATCCGTTACTGGCCTTTGGGGGAGCTCCGAGGTGAGGGCCAGCCAACCCTCCCACTCCAGAGAGATGTGGCCACAGGGGAGGGGAGGAGAGGGAGCCCAGCTGGCTTTGGTCACAGAATACAGAGCCTGGCCTTGGGCCAGGGCAGACAGATGGATGGTGGAGTAGGAGTCCCAGAAACCACCCTGCCCAGGGAGTCCAGGGACTGCTCCACCAGTCCCGCTCGCAATGTGGTTGGTCCAGACCTAGATTCAGTGGCTGGTGCAAAGGGAAGGCAGCAAAGCAGGAGGGAGGAGACACTGAAGTGTGGTGGCCCAGGGCACCCAGACCTGTGGAAAAGGGCGGGTGGGGAGACAGGCTAGCTGCTACTAGGCAGCTAGCAGCGGGTCTCATAAATGCCGCTGCGGCCAAAATAGCGCACCCATTTGATGACATCGTGGTCGCTGTAGTTCAGCTTCGGTTCAAACACCTTCAAGTAGCGCACTTTGAGTCCAGAGGGTGCGAATGGCACCTCAAAGTTCATGGAAATGGGGGGTCGAGCCCATTTCTTCTTGTCATTGGTGGGCAGAAGTTCAATCTCTGCGCTGATTTGCGATTACTTCATACCTGCCATGCGCTTGATCTTCCACACGATGGCGTTCTCGCTGGCCTTGTACTTGGCCTTCCCCTTCATGCCGATCACCTGTACCCCGCTTGTGTTCAGTGGGGTTGGGATCCTCACCTCAATCTTCTGAGCCAGTAATGAGGGCTTGAAATTGGACTTGATAACCACCTTAACCTCCAGCTTGGTGCGTCCCACTTCTCGCACTAGTGGGATCACCTGGAAAGGAAGGATGATGTCCTTGGTGGTACAATACCTCATTAGCTCAAACTCTCCATCTGGTGGGATGAATCTGATGCTGTGTTCAGAGTCAAACTTGCTGAGTCGCACACACTGGTGGAAGGTGCAGTCATCGATGGCAATCGATTGCTTCCCACTCTTGCTTGTTTCATCAGCTGTGCCTTTGCCTTGCTTCTCAATGACAATCTTGTCATTCATCCCAAACTTGCACTCAGGCATGCCACTCAGGTAGTTCTTCATCACCACCCGGCCTGACACATGGGCGCTCAGCACCTGCCCCTGGGGGGACATGAGGAGGTTCACACTCTCCAGCACATCCAAGAAGAGCTCATTCCGGCGATACCTGATGCCCTCCCGCCTCCAGCCAATCTGCCCGGTCACCTGGCTGGTGATCTGGGATTGCTCTTCTTTTGTCTGATGCTGGCTCTTGATACCCTGCTGAGTAATGAAGGTTTTCAGTGCTCCTGTCTCTGAAAGCTGTGGATAGCCAAAGTCCAGGATCTCATCCAGCAGCTCATTTATGAGCACAAAATTGTTCTTGATGTTCTCCTCGCTGATCTTGCCGAAGTAGGCAACCATTACGTCACACATCTTATAGAGGAATTCGAAGACCATGGCAGCATTGACATTCTGCTTGGTGACAGCTGCCAACCAGATGTTGGACCGCTTGACATGGAAGAAACTGGTGCGAGCGATGTTGGTGACGGGGCTGCGAACCTGCTGCCGGGCGTAGATAACATTGACCCGAAAGGCATCCACTGCATTCCTCCCGATGTCATCTCGGTAGACCCGGGAGATGAGCACCTCCCCCTTGTGATTATAGATGAATAAGCCTCCAATCACGGTGGCAGCTCAGTCTCCAAGGCCCATCGCTCTGAGAACAGACCTGGCCTCTGCGGCCCCCTCCTCGGCCCGCCCGGCCACTCTCCAGATCCCAAGATGTCCGCCCACCCCCTGCTCCGAGTGGAATTCCTTCTTAATCCATCTCCCAGTCCAGAACCTGCTTCAGAGTGGCCACTCATCACAACAGAGTCTCCCCACATGGGCTTGAGACCTACCTGCTCCTCCCCATCTTTTCCAAGAATTACATCTCAGAATGTTAGTTAGGAGGTGTTCCCTACAGACCATCAGGAGCCCTCAGGGATGGCAGGACCCTAAAGGTGACCTTGTCCACTAAGCCCTGTTTATTTTTAAAAAAACAACTTAAAAAAGTAGCCTTTTTTTTTTAGAGCAGTTTTAGGTTCACAGCAAAATTGAACTGAAAGTACAGAGAGTTCCCACATACCCTCTGCCTTCACACATGTACAGCCTCCCGCACTGTTATGGATTGAATGGTTGTGTCGCCCCAGAATTCTTATGTTGAAACCCTATCTTCTAATTTGATAGTATTAGGAGGTGGTACCTTTGAAAGTAATTAGCATTTCATGAGGTCATGAAGGTGGACTCTCACAAATGGGAGTACTTTTATAAGCAGTCACTAGAGAGCATGCTTAGTCTCTCTGCTCTATGCCAAGTGAGGATATAATAAGAAGTCAGTATTCTACAACCCGGAAGAGAATCTTCTTCAGAAATCAGCCATACTGACACCTTGATCTTGGACTTCTAGCCTCCAGAACTGTAAGAAATAAATTTCTGTTGTTTATAAGCTACAAGTTTATGATATTTCTTTGTTATGGAAACCTAAATGGACTAAGACACCCACTATCAATCCCCCATTAAGGGTGGTCCATTTGTTAGAATGAACTTGCATTGATACATCATTGTCACCCAAAATCCATAGTTTACATTACATAACTGACATTACATTACATTCTACAAGTTATGACAAATATATAGTTACATTTATCCACCATTATAGTATCATATAGAATGGTTCTCTGCCCTAAAAATCCTCTGCACTCTGCCTATTTCTCCCTCCCTCCCCTTTAACTCCTGGAAACCACTAAAATTTTTACCTCCTTCATAGTTTTGTCTTCCAGAATGTCATATAGTTGGAGTTGTATAGTATGTAGCATTTTCAGATTGGCTTCTTTCACTTAATAATGTAAATTTAGGCTCTCCCATGTCTTGCCATGGCTTGGTGGTTCATTTTTTTTCTAGCATTGAGTACTATTCCCTTGTCTGGAATTCATTCACCTACCAAAAGACATCTTGATTGCTTAAAGACTGACAATTATGAATAAAGTTTTCATTTTTTAAGTTTTATTTATAGAGGGAAAGAGAGAGAGAGGGAGAGAGAGAGGGAGAGAGAGAGAGAGAGAGAATCTTAAGCAGGCTCCATGCCTAGTGCATGAGCACAATGTGGGGCTCAATCTCACAACCCTGAGATCATTACCTGAGCTGAAATCAAGAGTCAGACACCTAGCTGACTGACTAACATAGTGGTTTGACAATTCTATATATTACTCAGTGCTCATCGTGATACATGTAGTCACCATCTATCACCATACAATGGTGATATTATTATAATATTATTGAGTATATTCCTTATGCTATACTTTTCATTTCTGTGACTTATTTATTTTATAACTGAAGTTAGTACCTCTTAATCCCCTTCATGTATTTCACCCATTCCCCCAACCCCCTTCCCCTTTGGCAACTGTGAGTTTGTTCCCTATATTTAAGAGCCTGTTTTTTGTTTGTTTTGTTCTGTTTTGTTTTGTTTAGATTCTACATATAAGCGAAATCATATATGAAAAGTAGCAGGAAGTTTACTCAAAAAATTAAAAATAGAAATACCATATGATCCAGTAATTCCATTATGGGGTATTTACCCAAAGAAAATGAAAACACTAATTTGAAAAGATACATACACCCCTATGTTTATTGCAGCATTATTTATAATAGCCAAGAAATGGAGGCAAACCCAAGCTTCCATCAATAGATGCATTGGTAAAAAAGATGTGGTAAAATGGTAATTACCCAGCCATAGAAAAGAATGAAACCTGACCATTTGCAACAACACAGATGGACCTAGAAGGCATTATGCTAAGTGAAATAAGTCAGACAAAGACAAATACTACATGATTTCATTCAATGTCTTTAATAGATAGAGATCTATTAAGATTTTCCATTTCTTCTTGTGTGAGTTTGGCAGATTGTGTTGTTAAAGGAACTGGTTCTAGGTTATAAATGTGAGCATAGAGCTATTTATAGTATTCCCTTATTATTCTTTTTTTTTTAACTATTTTTTTTTTGTGGGGATGGGTGGGAGAGGGAGAAGGGAGGAGGGACAGAGGGAGAGAAAGAATCTTAAGCAGGCTCCAGGCCTAGCATGGAGCCAGATGCAAGGCTCAATCTCACCACCCCAAGGTGACCTGAGTTGAAATCAAGTTGGGTGCTCAACCAACTGAGCCACCCAGGTGGCCCTACTATTACTGATCTTCATATCCATTTTCTTCTTTTTTTGAGAGGGAGGGGAACACAGGCCGAAGGGGTTGGGGAGAGCAGAGGGAGAGGGAGAGAGAGAATCTTAAGCAGGTCTCACACCCAGCACAGAGCCCAATATGGGGCCTAATCTCAAAATCCTGAGATCATGATCTGAGCTGAAATCAAGAGTTGAACACTTAACCAACTGAGCCACCCACACACCCCTATTTTTTTTTGTAATATAGTTCTCAATGTTGTAAATTCCCCTTCTAGCACTGTTTTTGCTACATCCCACAGATATCGATAAGTTGTATTTAATTTTCATTTAGGTCAAAATATTTCTAACTTTGTGTTGAGATGTCTTCTTTGACCCATGTGTGATTTACAAGTGTGTTGTTTAACCTCCATGTATTTTGGAATTTTCCAGTTATCTGTCTGTTAATGATTTCTAGTTTAAGGCCTTGTGCATGGTATTTGGAGTAATATAGTAGGGGATAAATGTAGTTGGTAAGAAATGAAGCCCATTGACTCTAACCACAGCTTCTTTATATGATACTAAGAAATAACTTCTAAATATGGTAACTCTATTAGGTATCTATTGTTACATAACCAATTACTCCAAAGTTCAGCTGATTAAAACAACAAATATTTATTATCACTGTGGGCCAGGTATTCAGGTATGGCTCATCTGGGTGCCTCTGACTCAGAGTCTGTCATAAAGAAGCTGCAATCAAATTGTGGGCCAGGGCTGTGTCTCATCTGAAGGTGCAATGAAGTGGGTGTGGGTTGTTGGCAGTCTTGGCACTTTGCTACATGAGTCTCCCCAACAGGGCTGCCTTAATATACATAGCTGGCTCACCCAGGTGAACAATCCAAGAGAGAGGGTGTGAGAGAACCCAAGAAAGAAGTCACAGTCTTTTTACGTCTTACCTTTGAAAGTGATATCCCACCACTCTTGCTGTTTTCTATTCATTAGAAGTAAGTCACTGGTTTTTTCTTCTCCTGGACAAGAGGCCTCTGCCACAACCATGTTATGCCAGATCATCAGTCAGGCCAAGAAGCATCTGAGCTTGATCCCCCTCTTCATATTTATTGAGGCAGAAGGTACTGGAGCAGTGCTGTATGTCTTGTGCCTGGCATTGTTCAATCCAGATGTCAGTTGGGATAGGAAGAATAATTCAGAACCCTGGAACAAACTGGGTCCCAATGATCAATACAAGTTCTACTCAGTGAATGTAGATTACAGCAAACTGAAGAAAGAAGGTCCAGACTTCTAAATGAAATGTTTCACTATAAAGCTGCTTACAGTGAAGGTCTTCCAGAAGCCATCCACACAATTTTCCACTTATCCAGGAAATATTTCCCCTCTAAATGCATGAAATCATGTTGGTGTATTGTGTTGGGGTTTACCCTGAATAATAAATATCTGAAACTTGAAAAAAAAAAAAAGGAAGTAAGTCACCAAGTCCAGGTATACTCATAAGGAGGTATTGCACAAGGATGAGAATGTCAAAGAAAGCCATTTTAGAGGTTGCCACCCACAAAGACCATGTGTCTACTTGCACAGACACTCTCAGTCTATATCTTTATGTATCTGTCCTGGTTTGGCTCCTCCCTTTCCTCTTTTGCCTTTCTTCCTTCCATTCCCTCTAGTGTTTGTACAATGCAATCCAAAAGCCATCTGTTGGGGCCAAATAAGTCTGATAAAAAGTTGATGAGATACATGCTATTTACATGGTCAAACATGCTCCCCTCATTATACATACATATTACAAAGGGGAAAAAAGTAATTTTAAAGTGGAGAAGTCTGGCAGACAGCACCTCAATTAGTTGAATAAAGTTAACAGTGCCAGGAATAGGACAAGTTAAAATCACATTCCACTTGATAGGATGCAATGAGAACACAGCATCACTTATGTGATGTTCCTGCCAAAGATGGGTACCCTGCATTTAATTATGAGAGAACATTAGACATATACAAATTGGTAAATATTCTATAGTCTGTGCTCTTCAAAATGTAAGAGTCATAAAAGTCAAAGAAGGACCAAGGAACTTCTTCAGATTGCAGGCAACTAAAAAAAGACATAATGACTAAATGCAACATATGATTCTGGTCTGGATCCTGTTTCTATAAAAACCATTATGGGGACAATGGGTGAAGCCTGAATGGAGGTTAATAACTAGATAGGGCAAAGTACCAATGTTAATAGCCTGATGTTGATGGTTCTACTGTGGGTAGTTAGGAGAACGTCTTTGTTTATAGGAGAGCCGCATTACCATATTCAGGAGTGATGGGGCATCACATCAGCAACTTACTCTTAAACTCTTCCAAAAAAAGAGTCCTTTGTACAGTACTTGTAACCTTTCTGTAAGTTTGAAATTTCTTTAAAATGTAATGTTTGAATGCCCCAATTAGGATGGAAAATTACATGACTACCCCACTTATGGATATAGGAGTTCCTCTAAAAACTCCTTCCCCATACCTTTATTCCCATAAACACTTAATTCATCCTTTTGGTCATGTATTTTCCTCTGGAGATAAACCTTCTCCAAAGCAATACTGAGGACACAGCCCCAGGACTGAGCTTGGAAATGTCAAATCTAATTAAATTATTTTAAGCACAGGAATTAGGGGAGCAAAAATAAATCTCACATTTGAAAACTGAATGTATATCAAGGAGAAGGTGGAAAAGATTGCTTTGCCCACCAAATCCTTAAGATTTTGGTTCAGTTTAAAAGTAGAAATCCTGGGACATCTGGCTGGATCAGTTGGTAGAATGTGTGACTCTTGATCTCAGGGTCCTGAGTTTGAGCCCCATGTTGGGCATAGAGATTACTTAAAAACAAACAAACAAAAAATTAAATAAATAAAGTAAAAATAGAAATCCTGATCCTTTGTGAGACTTTACAAATTAAATTGCCCTCATGGGGATGTCTGGGCAGCTCATTCGGTTGAGCATTTGCCTTCGGCTCGGGTCATGATCCCAGGGTCCTTGGATCAGTCCCACGTCAGGCTCCCTGCTCAGCTGGGAGCCTGTTTCTCCCTCTATCTGCAGCTCCCCCTGCTTGTGCTGTCTCTCTCTCTCTGACAAATGTATAAAATCTTTAAAAATAAATAAATAAATAAATAAATTGCCCTCATGTACTTCCATATTTAGACTATGAAATGGAAACAAAAAGCTTTTGTACATACTACCAAATAACCTGCCAACTATCATCACCAAAACCTTTTATTGATATAGGTTCTTAGAAGATTATAGGGACAAAAGTAGATGTTATAGTCAGTGAAGATTCAAGGGGAAAACAGGAAGGCGATCTAAACAATCATGGACCTTGAAATAAGGATTCCCTAGAACAACAGAAATACTGAAACCCAGATATATGGAAATGGACCAAAGAATGGAAGGAATATGAAGAAATGAATAAAAATTTGCATTTCTGTGAAACTACTATAAAAACTATCCAATACTTACATAAATTGACTAGTTTGGGAAAATAATTATAAAGAAGATAAAAATTTTGGGGGTGTGGGGAAGTGAAGTTTATGACCACTAGAATCTCTTGGGTTTAAGGCCACAAAGCACTTCAGGACTTCAGAGAGGGTGGTGGGGTGTCATACTTCCACTCCTCTATGTGGCCAGGATTTCTGGCTCTCTGCTTGTCTTACTGCATCTGGCACTCTCCCTTCCCACTGACTTCCACATATCCAAATAGACCATTTTTAGTCTTCATGAGTAAGAAGCATGAAGGTCAGATGCAACATTTCCCCATTTGATATAATCAAACACATGCCCTCCTCAAATCTAAAGTATTTGACCTACTCTACAGCCTAGGTTCTGTTGATTCTGGAAACTACACCAAACACAGTGTTAAGACATGAAATATTTCTTTCTTCTCTATCTAGGGTCACTCTTTGTTCTTTTCATATTTTCCCCTGAAGCTGTTGGACTTATTTCTAAGCTCTGTAACCTTGTCTGGGATGATTCATATCCTAAGTAATTTTTCCTTTTTCATACATTCTTTAAGTTATATTTTCATGGAATTTGTCTATATCCACTAAGTTGTGAAATTTATCAACACAACATTAACCATCATATTGCCTGCTGATTCTTTTGGTGTCTGCAAGATCTATATGTCTGCGGTTTTCTCTTTTATTCCTGATGTTAGGAATTAGAGTTGTCTCCTTTTTTCTTGATCAGTCCAGCTATGGACTCATCCTATAGCAATTTAAGTTCATGTTTAATTCAGACCATTTCTGTCCTTTTGCTTCTCTTGAAATGTAAGTTGGTTAGGAGCTGGTAAATTCACAGGACCAGCTGAAGTCAGAGTTAGAGGAGGTATGGGTGCACGCAAAGTCAGAGGCAGGATCTATGGAAGATGGGGAGGCTGATAAGGAGGGAGTTCAAATGACTCAGAAGCTGGGTGGGTGCAGAACAGCAGCGCAAAATAGCCATGGCTATCCACCCTTCCGCAGTTATTACAGGGATACTTCCTGGTAATATATTGTCAAGGACCATTTCCCAGAAAATTCTACCAAGACCTGAGGAACTACCACTTTGTGCTTTCCAGCTGTACATTAAACTCATAGGAGCGTCCAGAATGTGGACCTATAGAGAGAGAGTGTATGTTTCTCTCTAACATGGGAAGGAAGAGACATACAACAAGACTTCAGAGAGGGCGAAAAGGCTACATTTGCTGACCTCCATTTATGTAAACCAAAGTTCCCTCTGACATGTTTGCATGATGGGTGATTCCTGGTTTCTAATTCCTCACAGCAGCATGTATTATTCATTATTTAATAAGAAAAATACATATTTTATTACTATGCATGCTACAGTTTGGTAAACTAGAAAGTGGTAAACAGTAAAGAAAAATGCCAATAAAATGAGTTGTTGATAATAAAATAAATTAAATAATAAAAAATTAAGACCAAGCTGAAAACCAATGAAAAGCAAAATATGAAAGCCTAACCTTCTTTTTATAAGATACTAAGCACTTCCCTTTGGCCTCGGATCAGACCCAGAATAGAACCCTGTCTGTACTCTTGAGTACAAGCAGGGAGTTTTAAGACTTAGCTCTGTTTTTCCAATGATCACATCCTTACTTGGATTATACAGTTGATACCACATCAGTAAAATTTGGAGTTTTTAGCAGACCTTCAATGGAGATACATGGTGGAACACAGCATGTTTGTTTAAAAATGAGAATCCTGAATAGATAAAAGAACCAAGTGGAATGTTTACCCAATGTGATTCACAAAAGACTCAAGCTCCTCCAGCTTAGCAATATGTGTACAAAGGAAAGAACACCCTCTCCACTCCCTCTGGTATTCTTGATTTGGCCACTTGCGTTTCAAGAATCCTTTGTTCCTGGTTTTAAAATGGGAGCCTAGTCTGTCTCATTTTTGTAAAAAAAGATCTTCAAGTGATAGATCATCTTGTATTGAGGTATGATGTTAAAATTCAAATTTAACACTGTCACTTGGGAAATTTCACTGAGTGCAGTGGATTTCCTCCTTTTCAGGGCTCTGGACCCCTTTGTGAACTAATGACGGCAGGGACCCTTGCTTCATAAGAAGGCACAACCAAACATACAAAATGTGACTTCAGATTGCTTGCCAATCCACCAAACCCGGGTGTGGATCCTACTTCAGAATATCTGTTCCAAGGGGCATGCTTCTGGGCAGTGTTCCCAAAATGGGAACCCTGAAGAGGATTTGAGAGATGCTCCAAGGCATTCCATCATTAATTGCTCTGTGCTCATCTGTGTCCACAGGTAAAGCTATTTGTTTTACTACATTTTACTCTAGATCTTCTCAGAGCCTTCCATATGTTAAATTCGTGTAGAATCTTGTTTTTTTTTTTTTTTATTTCCCACACATCTTTCCTCTACTCAGGGAAGTGTGGTCTATGCCACACCTCCCATGAGAACCCACAGCTTCCTGGCTTATAGTAGAAGCCATGCAAATGTCTTCATCTGGAAAAAGTCTAGAGCAGAGATGCCCAGGGGAGTGGGAAGGTATAGGGATGG